GGGCTTGTATCTTACCCCCTTCGTGAGGCGCTGGGTTCTCGCAGGTGTGGATGTGGTCTGGATGTTGTCCTGTGTCCTCTGGTCTCTATTTTAGGAAGAGTTGTCTTTGTTATATTTTCATAGATATATGTGGTTTTGGGAGGAGATTTCTGCTGCTCTACTCATGCTGCCATTTTGGGTCCGCCTCCAGCTTTGTGTGTAGGGTTTTTAAAGATCTTTTCTTAAACCTTTTTTATTGTGGCAAAATATAGACAACATAAAATTCATCATTTTAACCACTTTTAAGCCTAAGTCCGCTGGTATTGAGTACATCCACATTGTGCAACCATCACCACCATCCACCTCCAGGGCTGTCTCCCAGCAGTTTTGCTCTATAGCAGGAGGCTTAGCTGTCTCACTCACTGCCTGCCTGTCTCAAGCAAGGGGGCATAGACACATGCCTCTGAGAATTCTTGCTGCTCTTCCACTATCAGGTAACTTATTCCTGGAATTCCAAGAGGAGTTGGAGCGAGTCTATAAAGTCTACTGTGCCAGCTACGACCAGGCCCTGCTGCTGGTGGACACCTACCGGAAGGAGCCAGAGCTGCAGCAGGAGATCCAGGGCATCATTGAGGCGGTGGTGTGAGTAAGATGACCAGTGAGCACTCTTCTCTGCTGTCCTTGACCCCGAGGTCAGGGACCGTTAAGGTCTTACCCCCACTTGGTGGTGCTCCTGCTGCTTCAGGAGTGTCTCAGACAGGATAGGCTGCAGGGATAAACAACTCCCAGCACTCAGGACTTCAAACAACGAAGCTCTATACCTTCCTTATTCTCCATCGTGGGTTGACTTGAGGCTCTTCTCTGCATCATCCACGATCTGGGACCCAAACTGAAAGCAGCCACTATCTGGATTATTGCCAGTAACTGTGCAAAGGGAAAAAGAGCTCTGGAGGGTCTGATGCTGGAAATTAAATGCTCCAGTCCAGAAGTGATACCATTTGCTTTTCATAATTGATGAGCCATAACTAATCATGTGGCTTTGTCCAGCTACCAGGAGGCCAGGGTGTCCTATCCTGCCATGTATCCAGAGTTAGAAAAGCAGAAACATTTGGTAAACAGCCCTCAGGAATATCACAGGACAGTAGGAAGGGTAGTGGGATGGTGGGAACCATGTGCTTTAAGAAACAGGAGCAGGAAGCAGGTTTGTATCACCTGGGGAGGCCTTTGTATAGATAGCTGATATCCTGCCCCATGGAACAGGACCAGAACTATACTGGGTGACCTCACAGCCCATAGCTGGCACCATGGGTGGAAGCCCCAGGTAGAGATAATGTAGAGAACAAAATTTTTTTAATTAAAGATCTTAATGGGCATGATAATTACATGGTTCAAAAGCTTTAAAACATCCAAATTTATACAGTAAAAAAATCTTCCCAACCCTTCCTCTACCCAATTACTTCTCCAAAGTTAACATAACCATGCTTAAATTATTTATGTATCTTTGCAGAGTTCCTTTATGCATATACAAATGCAAATACAGACCCTTATTTTCCTACTTTTTAAATGTACATTTGTATTTCTTCTCATGTACAGTATGTCCTAGAGGTCTTTCCCTTTCAATACCTATGTGTATAATCCCTTCAACAGCTATATAATCTTCCACCATGTAGCTGTTCCACAGTTTAACCAGTCTCTATTAATGGACATTGGTTTGTTTCTATTCTTTTGATACTATAGATAGTGCTACAGTGATTACTCATGAACGTAAGTCATTCTGATCATTTTTTTGTACATTTAGTAGTCACTTGTATTTCCCTGCCTGTGAATTATTCTGCTTCTATTCTGTCTTAAAAAGGCTGTATCTTTCCCAATGATGAGCTCACCAAATGGAGGTAAATGAAGGTGGTTTCCTGGAAATCAGAATAATATAGGAGGAATAGAGATTATTATTATTATTATTAATTCAGCTAACTTAGACCTTCCCTTTACACCAAGGGAAAATGTAGATTTAGTCTTTGAAGATGACATTATCTCACTTGAAACCTGCTGCCTGTCCTCTATCTCTCCCTTATCTTATCCCCTCAACTTCCTGAAGCCTGCTTTTCAAATACCCATGTCCTAGCACCCTTCTTCCTCCAAAAATACTGTATTCATTTTCCGCTTTGATTCATCCCTTCATGGCTCTTACAAACTAAGGCTTACGCAAGTGTCACTAAATCTGTTTCTCCAGGAGTGAGGCAGATAACAGAAATGAGGGAAACAAGGTGCCAAATGTGGGACAAAAGGGAGTAGTGGAGACTATGGCAAACCAGAGCCAACCGGCCCTGCATAGAGTACAGCTGCAGCCCAGCCACAGCTGATTGTTGCTGTATCAAGCTTTTGCTAGAAAACAAACCACCCCAGAACATAATGGCTTACAACAAACATTTATTTAGCCCACACCTATGCATGCTAGCAATTTAGCTGGGCTCAGTAAGTGATTCATCTGGTCCTGGCTGAACACCTTCACGTGTCTGTGATCAACTGCAGGTCATCGCTGCTCATCTTTGCTGGCCTCTCTCATGTCTGGGACACTTGAGCTCTGGCCAGTCTCATTATCCTGCAGGCCAACCCAGGCTTGTTCATACCATGAACACAGAGCTCAAAGAGAGACAGAGAGAGACAAAGAAAGAGGAAGAAAGTGGGCAGGAGAGGAAGAGTAAGGCCTTTGGATGTCTTAGGTGGGAATTGGTGTGCTGTGCCAGCCTCATGGGGAAGAGAAATAGGCCTTCTTGATGAGATGAGCTTCAGAGTCATGGATGTGTGGCTACAGAGAGTAGAACAATTGCAGCCATTTTTTGCAAACCATCTGTCTTACCTGCCAGGTAGGAGTGTGAGTCCATGGCGGCCAGGTCCTCTGATTTTTCAACAGAAGCCAGAAACTTTGATGTTTCCCCAGGTTAAATGTTGGCATCCAGTTCAGATGTGTTAGGGTGTGAGAGTATGGCCCTGGTTGGCTCACAGGTGGCTGTTAGCCATGTCCTCAGTATTCTCCCATCCAGGCCAGTCTAGGCTTTCTCATGGGCTCTGGGGCCAGGCTGCCCAGTGGAGGATCTAGCCATGCACCTTGCTTACCTTGGCAGAACCATTTTGTGTAAAGAATCTGGTTTTCTTGTATGTAACGTGGGAATAATAATGTAATATACATGTTACATATACATAATATATGCCCCCAGCACTTTACTGGGGCATATATTCATTGTGCATACATGACACTCTATACATCCCAGCTATTATGTCATCTTGGCTAGGCAGGGATTACATTTCTCTCATTGTACATCTCATGTACAATGTACATCTTAGCTCTATTGGTCCCAAAGCCCCCTTTTTATAACAAACATTAAATAAATAAATGTACTATCCTGAGAAATATTCTGGAGATATAGGTACTTATCTCCTACCTATATACATAACTGAAAAAAATAAAGCAATATAATTGATTAAGTATAATAAAAAGGAAATCAATTTCTAATACAGTAATATGTATTTCAGTGTACAAATGCTTGGGTACTGCTACACTAGAGGGTATCATGAAATAATCAGAATCATGTACCTACTTATAATAGATAAGTTTGGCTTTAAGAAGAGTCCAAAGCCCTTCTGTTTAAGAAGTACAGAAAAATGAAATAGCAGAGAATGCATGTACCCGAGAATAACAACTAGCAATGATAACCAGCTTGTCTATGAGAAGAGAAAAAAGGAAATAACACAATTGAAGTGGGAATAGCATTTTGTACTGGGGAGGCAGAGCAAATGAGGAAGTGTGATGTTCTTGCAAAAGATCTGGGTCTAATTTAGACCCAGTGTTATGATACGTGACTGCATAGAGTCATTCCCAGTGTTATGATATGTGACTGCATAGTCAACAGGTCACAAAAATATCTCAGTTTTTGAGGTTTCAGCACATTTCAAGGCACTCATTTGGTCTCTGCATGTTCCAGGGGCCTTTTATGAGGCAGGGAATGAAAGGGCAAGCTTCCAAATTCTATTTCAGCTACTTGGGACCTGGATCCTACCTCAGCCAATCGGGACCTGGATCCTATTTCACCTAGTCGGAGCTTGGTCTCTCTCCTCTCCAGTCAGCAAAGAGCTCACCCACCACCCTTAGACCCTGCCAGTTGACCAGAGCCATGACTTATCACCCCACCAACTACCCCTAGATCCAGCCAATCAGGCAGAGCCATGACCATCACCCCACCAACTGCCCTAGAACCCCATAAAACCTTTGTGGTATTGAAACTCGCTCTCTTTCTCTGGCATCTTGCCACTGTGTTGATGTAGATGAGAGATTGAGTTCGAGCTAGCTCGAATAAAGGCTCTTTGCTTTTGCATCGGTGTTGGCTCCTTGGTGGTCTTCTGGGATTCACAACTTTGGGCACAAAATTTGGGGGCTCATCCAGGATCCCAGAGACCCCCAGGATTCCCAACCCGGAGGGCCCTGTGCTGGCTGGTGAGTGCACTCAGTTATCTGTCTGTCCTTGTCTACCTGTGTCTCACTCTGTCTTTATCTGTTTTCTCACTGTTTTTGTTCGCAAACAAGCCTGTATAAGCCTGTAGGAGCTCCAATCTGTATCTGGGTCGGCATTGACTTAGGTGGACGTGCTGGTGGGTTGCTGACCAGGGGTCTTGGGAGACGTCCCTTGCCCCCGTCTGGAGGAAGAGGTCCTCATCTGTGAGGAAAGTCGGCTGCCGCTGCAGTCCAACAGGCCCTCAACTTACTTTCAGTTTTGCCTCCATGGCCACGGCAGCCTGTTTGTTGTTTGTCATGTTTGTCTTAGTCTTGTTGACAGAAGAAATGAGACAGACACAGACGACCCCCTTGTCTCTCATGACAGACCATTTTTCTCAGACGTTAGGGAGAGAGCTCACAATTTGAGCACGGACGTCAGGAAGGGAAAATTTCATGTTTTCTGCATCTCCGAGTGGCTGTCCTTTAACGTTGGCTGGCTGCCGGAGGGAACATTTAATCTAACCACTCTTTTAAAGGTTAAAGATATCAGGGGAAGAGCTAACAACCTCAGTGTGGAAGTCCAGAAGGGTTGGTGGCAGACTTTTTGTTCTAGTGAGTAGCTAGTTTTCAATGTCGGATGGCTGCCAGAGGGAACCTTATCATTATGTCTCAGTCTGTACGTTTGTGTGTCTAAGTGTGTAAATGAAAATATCTTTCTACCTCCGGATGGTATTAATGAAATTGATTTAAAGACAAGCACTTGTGAAAATTGGGCATTCTAAAACTTCCAGAAAATCTGATAAAAAATGTTAAACATTAATGCTAATTTGGGTTTGCTTGAAGCGGGCATGTCCGTGTAGTTATCAGCTGCCTAAGTTTACCTAAGGTCATTTAAGTCCGTGTTATATGCTAAATATTTTAAGAATAAAATGCTTAAAGGCTTGACTTTGTCTAATATTCAGTAAAGGTCTTATAAGTAATCTAGCATAGTTGTTATGTATGAGTGAACTAAATGAGTGTGGCAAGTGAACACCTTTTTAATTGTGTGTTATAGTGTGTATACCTACCTGCAGCCTGAGAATCTTTGTAGTAACCTAAAATCTTAAAGTTTTGCTAAGTTGATATACTTTATGTTTAGTGAGAGATTGTGCTG